GAAAGAATTGTGGCGTTAATCAAGCTTCTCGTACTTCAATTAGAGCGTACTTATTTTCTAGCCTGCGTCCACCCTTGGCATGTTAGCAATTTGGTGAAGCACCCGCTGGCCAGTGCAGATGTACTGTTCCCTTCAGGTAGTCCCGGTCTGCCATCTGTCGATCGTCCGTTGGAGCAGGAAATTGAGGGAAGTGGGCTCAGCCATCCCTTGGTGGTTGCACACGCGTCGCTCTCGATGACGATGCAAGCCGCGCGTACCGAATGGAGAAGAAAAATAAGTCTGTCAAAGGTGGTGACATGTCTGCATCTTAGTCATATTCTTCAATTTAAACATCAAATGATGAAACTCTTCTCATTCGTATGCTGTATTTTTCAGAACTCAATGGGCATGCACTCGGAGAGGTTCCAATCCATGACGGGAATCCAAAATACCAAACTATTTTTAACTTGCAACACTCGACCTAGCATTATGAGATAAAATAAACTTTACCTGGAAATCAGAAAAAAGGAAGACTATATTTTGTCCAATACTGAAATACAGTAAATTAATACCCCTGTAAAGTTAAAAATACAATAAAAAGAACCTGTAAAACACATTGAAAAATAAATATAGAAAGAAGAAATATTACCTTAATGTGAACATCGGTGTTTTACTTCAATGTAGAAAGATTTGTTATAATGCGACAGAGTACCTAATATTTCATTTATTGTTCTCCACCTTCAACTGAATAGGCGGAGACCTGGTGAGGGGTCCTCGTCACCAACCGTTGTCATCATCACCCACTTTCGCTCTTAGAGAAGCAGGATAAAAGTTAGCCTTTCTAAATCGACAGATATAAAATTCTCTGTCACAATCAAAAATTTACTTACTGCATAGGACACTAGCATCTAGAAAACTTAGGAATACAAGGAATGATTTTTTGAACAGCAATATCAGTTTTGGACAATTTGAATAAGAACTACAAACAGTATACATTAGCATTACTAATATAATTACCAGAGACAATAAACAAGATCACATGATTTTACTGTCATTCATATGACGTGATAACAAGTACAGTTTACTGGTTTCGATTTATAAGATTTGAATTGAAACAATTTTTGAAATAATCTTCATAAAATTCATTTTGCCTCACTGTATGTCAGTCTACATTTTATTTATGTATTAAGTTTGTAAAGAGTTTTCATCCCGCTGGCGTTCTTACAACCTTTTATGTCTGCGCTGTTATTGCTGCTCGTAAAGAAATAAAAGAGATGCAATGGCACATGGTATACATGTTTATTGTCTACATACAATGAGTACATCATGTCGCACAGCGAGCGTCTCCTGTTGGAAGCGAGACTTGTGCTTTTCGTCCTTCTAGTCTTTCGAGGCTAGCAATTTTCAAGTCTGGCACTGACAAGGCACTTAGGTCGGGGCAGGGTGCGGGAGGGGGACGAGGAGAAAACACTGCTTCGAAGCGGCGACGGCAGCAATTGTCTGGCGAAATCGTTCATCGCACACTCAATGTGCAAATTCAATGGAATGGAAGTCGCATCGCATGTAGAGTTCGAAAACAGATATCTGTACACTCGAAGCCGTTAAAGCATGACGAAAAGACATGGGTGAGATATTGCGCAGCCTATCCGGCTTCAATCAATGAGTTTCCAGCACCACTTTGCGTCACAACATTAGCGGGAATTAGTCAGATATCAAAAGTATCATCTTGTTACAAGTCATTAAAACGAATATACGAAGATTTAAAAATGCATTATTGCAGGTTATTTTTGTTTGGTCCCCGTTGAAAATTGTCACTTTATCCCATTTTAAAACTATTTCTCAACACTTTTTGCTTGCCACGCAGCATGGTGACCAGCATCTAGTCTGGCTTTTGAAACGAAGAGCCCGTGTTCTGATCGCGTGGTTTGTGACGTGGTGCGCCGGACCCCCTCATCCATGACTTTTCATCGTGCGTTAAAGGGAGAACAAGGCACCCGAAGAGACACTGAGCTAGTCGGTAAGTCAGCGACGCAAACTACCGCTATTCACAAAACATCAGTCAATGCTTGCGTCATTGTTTCATTGGTTTTCTTGAAGCATGTATGAGAGAAAAGTATTACAGTTTTGAAAGTTTTACATATTCGGCTAAACGACGATTCTTTGGTTTTCTGTTCGGAATACGTTGCGACTACAGGATCGTTCATGTATTTCTGCCCATCGTTACAAACACTTGATATAAAAAACGTTATTTACGAAATTTATTTACAATATTTTGGGTCTAGCATTGTTATTGCATTATTATTAATATACGAAACACTTTGGCTTTACTTGTGTATTAATGTGGTTGTTGGTTTCAACACAACTCGTGATTTTTATTGCGAAATGTGAATGTATTTTTTTATACCAAGACCTGTCGAAAAGCTAGTAAGTCGATGCTTTTGAGACAGCGTTCAGTGTAGCAGGCTCCCTGCTCGGAGAAGTCAGCACAGTGCACAGATTCTGCTTTTGACTCTACACGACGAAACTGAAGAAAATAATTGTTGGTTACACTTTGTAAAGAAATATTTTAAATTTTCTCTTACTTTTTTGCGATAATTCCTTTACATAAAATTATTAATTTATTTCTTATCTGTTGTTCAAATGAAATTTTACAATTTTATGAAATGAATTTTTATGTTAATGGATATTCTTGCGAATTAAAACTACTCTAAGCGGTATTACTGGTAATTTGACTAAAAATGCTGTCAGAAATTACACTTTAAAAATGGTTTTACATTTAATTATTCAATTGATGTTAAATTCTAGATATTTATTAAAATATTACACTTGAATGAAAACATTCTTAACACATCAAGCAATGAAATCCTAATTAACATTCTTTGCTGTTGTTCCGTTTTCAAAAACTATACATTTACATCGAATAGTATTCAAAAAAGTAAACTTAATTACAATATCACAGACGTCACAGCTGTCATCCGGTGAAGATCCAATAAAATATCTAAACTCATTGATGGCCTCTTTCCTTTATTTAGTTTTTCTACAAAGTAAAATGATTGCTAAATTGTCCCGATACTTAAGAAATGTAAGAGAAAAACTGCAAATTCAATACTTCTAAAATCCTATCATTACTATCACAGAAATTGATTAATAAAAATGCATCAAATTTTGGAACACACAGTCCTTCATCTACTATTTTCCTTCTTCATTACAAAACTTCAATAAGTGAGAAACCGGTACCAAATGGAACCGCAACAAGAAAATGGCGGCCGAGCTAAGCAGAGATAGGAGGTAGGAGAGCCAGAAATTATTAGACCGGGGAAAGGACTCTTTCTTGGATCATTATCCAGTCAAGAACCAGGAAGCCACCACAGGAAAATTGCGCCAAGAATGGCGGAAGGTGATTGAGGAAGACTACGTTTAGACTGGAAGAAAACGCGGGAAGTAATTAGGTTACTTCCCCAAAACAGTTTACATAAATAACACCTTTTCCTTTTAGTTAAATCAATAATCGCTCACAAAATTGTGTTGTAATACTGTTTTAGATGTCATGGCGATATTATTTGGTCGTGCTATTCTGATAAGTTAAAGATACTAGATAAATATAATTTAGAAATACTTTCATTATTGTCTGCATTCTTCAAAATGGGTTTAGGCGACAGAACTGTATCAAAATATAACTAGCGAACATTGGATACAACAATCAACGAATTGTATTGAAAGGGTCGTCGAAAAGATCCGCCTATCTTACTTCAATTTATTTATAATGTTACTTGAAGTTTAATCAGCTGTTACGATCTCATCCAATCGGGAGCTTGAACGTCACCATAGTGATGGCATTGGATGATACCGCAACAGCTGACTTACGTCGTGTGCCACTGCAGATAAATCGAAATATAGCACAAGGTTCGGTTCGCATCTTCCGACGAAGTGTCACATAATCCCATCTTGAGCGGTGCTAAGAGGTAGAATGAACTACGGGGGGAGGCTTAATTGAAGGGAATGTGCTCCACACAGATGAATCAATTGAAGCGACGAAGGGAGTTCCTTCTGCCGCCTAGGAAAGGGTTGGAAGACAAGGGAATGGTCGCTGACAGTCATGCGGGCAGCGGGTCGCAGGTCAAACGACCAGCTGTAGTTAAAGGAGCCTACTGAAACCCAACGTGATCCAACTAGCGCACGAACAAGATGTTATTAACACCATTAACGCAATGTGCAGCTTTCCTCCGCAACATCTGAACATGTGAAAGGACCCGATTAACAAAATTCTGGCGCTCCTTAGTATATTTTTATACCATTAACGTTTTCCCGAAACTTTTTTCTGTTCAAAATTCGAAACTTCTACGAACGAGCGCCTACAAGAACGACAGGTAAGGTAAATACTAAACTGGCAACATCGCATAGTATCTGTTACAATTTTATACGATACGTGATGCTTCAAGTAATGTTCATTGTTTTGGAAACATGAACATTCACAAAAAATCGCGCCTCACTGTTCTCCTAATTATTTCCGCGTCTTCGGCTACAATTAATGTTATATACTGCTTTAATAAAATAAATTTTGTTGTTGAAGTTATTAATATTACATTTAATTCTTCAGTGATAAGAAAATAGTACAGTTTTCGATGGATGACGTGTCAAGCAAATCAGGACAGGACAATTTTACGTACGGCCACAAGTCTTGGAAAAACATTTCTTTTCTAGTCACAACTTTTTTCAATTAATTTTGTTTGCGAAGACTCCTGAACTACAGTCCATGGAGTCCCCCCTCTCTAACATTCGGACCTACATGGAATCCGATGACCTACTTTTGAGAGGTTATATTTCGCCAAAAATGTATTTATGCACTAATGATGTTGATTTTGCAAAGCTATTTAGAACGATTTAATTCTCAATACAGATGAACTATTATTATTTAACAATTGAAATTGGTGGGAACAATGTACGTATTCTTTGGATTGCTACAAAAATTATAAATTCGAATCTCAGCGCGTTGAAAGCCCGTGGCAATGGCGAGCGCTAGTCTAGTCGTCGACGTGGGCGACGTCCAGGGCGTCCAGCAGGCGCGGGGTCGCACGCACGCGGGCGCGCGAGTGGAAGCACGTGTTGGGGAGGTGGACGGGGCGGCACCTGAAGCGCAAACAGGCGTAGGTCAAAACCCTTCATACACGTGGGATTGTAGGCGTTCCATCGGGTGACAAATTGCCGTATGTCATTCGCTGATCACGTATGCTATTGTTTAAATCATTATTTTCTTTTCTGTCTAGATATAACAACTTTCTCAGATTGTATTTACTTGGCGGTCCGGGTGACGCTGCGTCCACAGCGAAGGTGCCGACGTTTCGGTCGCCATTCTGCGACTTTCCTGCATTTCGCTCTGAGGAAGGTCGCACAATGGCGACCGAAACGTCGGCACCTTCGCCATGGACGCGGCGTCACCCGGACAGGCAAGAAAATACTGACTCCGGCCGCGGAAGTCTACCCTCTCTCTTTCTCAGACTGTATTTGGTACGAATACAGAGAATAAGAATAATGAAAATGTGAGTAATATTAATATTGCAATAACTTGTATAGTCAATACATCTGGGCGAATATGAAACAGCAAAAGAAGTGTTGAAATATCAAACGATATGTGAGATTTTCTTAAATACTGATATTGTATCAATTTGTTTTGACATTTCAACTCCGGCCTGAAGATGGAAATAATCATTTCCGAACGTTACTATTTATGTATAACATTTTACTATATTGAAAACATAGTTCATTATTTTGATATAAAACCGCTACCAAAAATAAAATTTTCTGTCTGTATAATAAAGACCAAATACAGCCTGACATTTGCTTCCTCTCCAGAGGTCTATTTTGACGTACGTCCTTTGAGCCTGATGCGCTGAAGATAGGGCGAGGCGAGACTGGCAGGGAGCACTTCTACGGGATGGAAGATCCGGGTTTGCACTACGCGTTTCACAGCGGCCGAGCTGACCTCGGAGGCGATCGCCAATAAAAGAGAGCGATTAACATTTGTACACATTCAACATGGAGCGTTACCTAACTAGGCTAAGACACTTCACTAACACTGTTTCTTATTGTCGTAAGCAGGGCCCCGATTTATATGGAATAACATGCATCTAAATGTGTATACATATATGTACAAAAGTATTCAAAATGTGAAGTGAATGTGTATTAAGAATTTATTTAGAGAAATGAAAATTAAGAATCATCAGAAATTAACCACTCAAGGAGTATAAATAGAATAGCGAAGTATCTTAGTTTTAATGTTACACATAGAACAATATTTAATTATCACTTATACTACAATTCACATTTTTGTATTGATGAAAGCAAGTTTCTCATTTTTTAGACAAACTATCATTTACGAGTTAAAAAAAACTAGTTACAGAGAATTGATTTAAAAGTGAAACTGCCGCTTTTGCTTCAATATTAATTTCTTTTGTCAGAAACTTCACTCTGCATAACAATGAGAACGAGGCAATCTTGTTTTCGCAATATCTTGTGGAGTCAATACACTTGGACGAATATGAAACAGCAAATAAAATGTTGAAATATATAACGATACGTGAATTTTTTTTAAATATGTGAAGATGCGTACTCTATTTGGAAATATGGAAATAATGAAGAATCAAATGTTTCAGGTAACTTCGAAAACCCTCACGTATAAACACTTGAGATGATTGATTTTAACAAATGTGTGATTCCATATAAATCGTAGCCCTGATAAGTTTCGGGGCTCATTATAGCCCCACGCCCATCTGGCGAGTGGGCGTGTCTGGCACCGCCTTCGCTTGTCTGGTCATTCAACGGAATCCCTTGGGAGCGAAGCGCTCACGCAGGCCAGACTTTTGTGACCGTCCGCTGAAGTATTTGGATACATGGAGCTTATGTGGAACGCGCTGTATTGGAGTTGGACGTTCAAAAAGTTGTGACGCGCACTCACCTCTTGAGCCGTGTTTAACGTTACTAACCTAAGAATGTAAGTCTGCAAGACTGCACAATGCAACTTTCGACTTCTTTTCAAAACAGTTGTCTTACAATTCTTATTTCATAAATGCCCTTATTAGAATGAAAAAAGTCAAACTAGGCCACGAAATCGAGTTTGAAAATCAATCCAGTATTGTAATACGATTCTGTGGTACAAATATCGCACAACGTTACAGCCATTTTGCAAATATTTTGACACCTATACTCTACTGTACTTTGTACTATAGGTTTTGTTGAAATTTGACTATTCATGCTGCAAAAGAGGACAGAGTGATTTTCGAGTATTTAATAGGCCACAGTTTATTAGAATATTTTTGTGCTAATAATGCTTTTTACGAAACTGCTCTCAGGCAACCCAAGGACGTTTCACGCTGATCGCCGACACCAATGGCAGCAGCCTCGCCGGGGATTTGGAAATGCGCGAGAAACGCCACTCGAATTAGCCAGGCCCATTATTTGACAAACGGACTACTTCACAGAGCGCCCTTGACTCGCACAACTTCTTGAATCGCCGCCTTATATTCAGGGCATCGCATATATTCTCCAGTTATCCACATCCGTCGCAGCTAACACACTACTACGCAAAAAGTAAATTAATTTTACTGTTAACGTCTGTTCATCAGATGAATATTACAAAGAACGTCATGTTATTACAGACTTTTTTTACAAATCGAATGTAAATTTGTAAAAAAAGAAAGAAACGGAAGTCTGTAATATTGTCCGAATAATATTTCTGTCAACTTGACAGCCCGGGGTGGGGGTAGAGAGATGCTGCCACTTACTCGGCCGGCAGGCACGTGGTCGTTCTTGCACAGATCACAACAACAGACGCAGTAACATGAAACAAATGGCAATGAAAACACACAACAGTAGACGACAAAGAAACGCATAGACGACGCATAATCAAACTAGAAATGGCGACAAATAGCGCTCTTCAAATTTCACTTAGTTCCCGTTTGATGATGCAATATTTTCTTAACAAACATCGGCAACTCTGCAGAATTCTGAGGATGCTTCTGATTGGAACACTCTCACCCACCCGTGTCAGCCTCTGGCTGTCAAGTAGGCAGAAACATTATTCGGACCAGGGAACCAGGGAAGTGAAAGACTGACCGGCCTGGCCGGGGCGGGGGCGGGGGCGCTCAGGGCGAGAGGCGCTTGTCGAGGCCGGGCGCGAGGTGGGCGGGGCGGGGCGAGGGCGGGGTCGTCGCCGGCGGGCCGCGGGCGGGTGCAGCGCCCACTGGCGAAGCAGGTCGCGCGCGCAGCAGCAGCACGGGACACGCCCCATCCCAGCGCGGAGCGCGGCGGCAACAGCCGGCGTTGGCGCCACAAAGGTCGCCGCGCGCTGTCCAGCAGGCGCGGCGTACGCCGGCGTCGACGCCAGCCCGCCCAGCTGCGCGCCGGCGTTCAGCAGCCCCGAGCTCGTGCCCTCAGGCTCCGGGTACGTCAGCTCGGCCGCCAGCTCGAAGCCCAGCGGCAGGTAGCCCGTCATGAAGAAGCTGCGCACAAGGCACGACGCTCGCGCACTACACACACACACATTCCCCAGCGAGCCACCACCTCACGTAAAGGCGGCTCCACACATTCGGCATTCGACTCCGAATCCTGCGTAGGGTGGATGGCTGGCTTGCTATTTGCCGAGTATCGAACTTCAGAGTGCTCGCCCTTCCCGCAGCGTTTCGTCTCGTTGGCCACATGGGCCACGGCCACTGGGGATAGCGCGAGCAGTCGTCAGCTTCTCGCCGAGAAGGGAGCGACTGCTCACCGAATCCCGACTAGTCAGAACGAGTTGCTCGCTATTTGCCAAGCGCCGAACATACGCTATTCGCCCTACCCACCGCGTGTCGGTCTTTAGGACACATCAAAGGAAGCGAACATCCACCGAGCGCATCAGCTGCTCGGAATTGGACAAGCAGTAGCTCTCTACTTGGCGAATGTCGAATGTGAGGAGCAACCTTAAGAAGGGACCAATTCTAATCATAAGCTAGACCATAGACCAGATCTGAAATGTAATGACGGAAACGCACGAATGACGTAATTCACAAATCGGAAAATGAAAGAAAGTCATGTTGGAGCATGGAACCGCAAGAGGTAGGGCATTTTCAAACGAGCCATCGCCAAACGAACAGATAAAACTACTAATTAAGCATATGCTTATGCTTCTAGCAATAGCTATATTTGTACAACAGGAGGCTGAGGGAATAAGATTGAGGAAGGAAAGATTGTCTACTGCGTGGCACGTTTTTTTCCTGGTATTGGTCGGAGAGACTACCGATCAGAGAAGCTGGCCACTATTTCTCAATCACAAAGCGGTTGAATTTGAGCTCGCTATCAAGATAATGATCGACTGGAATGCAACTTGCTTGCAAATGACCCAGAACAGTGTCTTCCTACGAATTGTCTTTGGTACTATCGGCAGGGGTTAGCACGACCTTAATCATGTCAGGCGCACTGGTGGCCACGTAGCTGCTTTCGTGTAAACCACACGCTTCACATGCGACGACGGGACGGGAAATAAGGGACCGCGCGTGCCTCTCTGTTGATCTGGTGATCTCAGTTTACGACGCATTGGGCTCGAAAACAAGGTATTAAGTATTTTCCGGTGAGACAACTTGTTTGGTCATTAATTCTTAAGTGTTGAGTATGATATAGCCGGGAGGCGGCGGTCTTCGTCCCAAATGGAACAGATGAATTCCAGCGCCAACTTAAACGTCGGGTTGTTGGTACGACGCCCAGCGAGGCACCGCCCCAGACGGGACAAGCTCTAGGCTCCCTCCTGATCACGCAGCATAAGTGGTAGTGTAAGATGAGGTGTACGTGTAAGGGGAGAGGTAGGGACAAAAAAAAGAGGAAGGGAAGGTGGCGTGCGATCCGTGGACCCTTTTTACGACTCTGCTTCGGAATTCTTTTGGTATTGACCGGAGAACCATCGGCCAGAGCAGCCGTCTGCTCGAATTCTCCACCGGACAGCGTCTGAACTAGACCCAGCTACAAAGCTAGGGTGGAAAAATCCAAGCCGTCCGGACTCGAACCTTCGGACCTACTTTAGTTAGCGTCAGACAACCACACGCGATCACAATCGAAGTCGACGTAATCACGACATGAAACGAAACGACTATGTTAAATCCTCAAGATAATTGTCTGTTCATTTATTTCTCTCCTCAGACCTCACAGGAGTACTCCTCGAAGTCGAGCTAATGCTCTTCATTTTCTCGTTCACAACACAGCGCAAACTATTCTTTGTATTTTACCGGGCTCAGAAGATTCTTTATCGTTATGATATACGTAATGACTCATTACAGACCGCCGTCTTCTCCTTTAGAAAGGCACTCACTTCCATTATCATTTTATTGATAAACGTTTCTTCAGCATTTCCATGGCCGCAGCTTTAGCATGTCCTTGACTCATTCGATTCTTATATAATGTCCCAAAAACTGTGCTTAAATCGAGTAGCTTGTTAAGGATATTGCAAACGCAAATATCTGAAATGTCGCAATTGAGGTGTACATCGCTCGGAATTTGCCAACCTTTCGCCGCCAGAACCTTAGCCTTCCAGCTCACCGTCGGCATTACGGTGTACTTGCTGTGTGCAAATTACATTATGACAAAACTACAACAGCGCTTCAATTCTTGGAAATGCACCCGTAGTTCCAGTGACATACAGAGCGCATGAAATTGGAAAATTGGTAAAAATCTTTTTGCAAGAACCTATGCAGGTAGTAGGTAAAATCAGTAAAGCAATTATTGCTAATATTATAAGAAACACGCTGATGTTGATGATGATATAGTGCACCAGACCCACCTGTATTATAATACATCATCTGCTCTGAAGATATTTTTACCAAATAATTTCTAAGATCTTCACTAGGCAAAAGTAAAATGATTTCACAGACCTTAAAATACTGTAATAGATAGTCATGTCACTCTTTCTATAAGCAAACAAATCAACAGTTGTAATTTCCGGAAAAATAGAAGAAATTTCCATATATCTCGCGATTTGTTGTCACATGTCCAGAAAATCGTCTCAAACTTTTAAGAGCCCTTCAAGAGATCTTCATTTCTGAGTTTCTTGTAACTTCTGCATTACCTTCACGTTATTTATTTGAATACAAATATTTTAACTACGAGTGTAACGCTGCTTTTGTCTTTTCATTCAGAGGTGCATCCACATTTTGTCTCTGGGAGCGGTAACACGTGAGGAGTGTTCAGCCGACTTCACGATTTATTATAAAGAATTGTTCATTTGGGCTGAATGTAAAATGAATTGAGCATACATTTTTCTTTATTAATTTTATTGATTTGTTTATTTCTTATTTGATACATTATTGTTAAAATGTATAAAGTTAATCATTAATACCCTGAATGTCATTCGGTGGTGTAGAAAATTAGTATATACTTTGGTTTTCAATATGGAACATTGGTTTTTGTGGAGAGGGGGGAGAGGCAGCCCCATGAGGCCCACCCACGAGCGCCACTGGCGTCGCGACGCGTCGTTGATAAGAATGAACTTTCTTCCCAATAGGCGACCATTGTTATTTAAATTATTGCGGGAAAGTGTCCACAGGTGTGCCAAGGTTAGGTCGCCTGAGAATAAGCGTCCTTTGAATAATTTCAATCAGATTAATTATAAATTACGATGAAGCGATGCCTTCTCCGTGCACAATAAACTGGAGAAGAATTCTCATGACTGTTCTCTGACTGTCCTCGTTTTCCGGGGTGTCTCCCACGAATATACGAGTCCAACATAAGAGCCATGGACTGTGCTCATTCCTTCCTCATCTTTGTTCCTTCCTCCCCCTTCACGTACATGCAGTACACCACCAAAATATCGGGAGCTTAGAAGCCTCCCCCGAAGGAGGAGATACCAGGCGGGGAACGGCGAGGGAACGTCGGCCACAGATATAACATCGAGACGCATCGCCATGCCTCGAGCAGATCCTGCACTACACTTGGAGGACTGGCTGCATTAGTAGTAGGCGCGCCCGGAATCACAAATCGTACAAGCAGTGTGGGCAGCATCTAGCGAAGCCGGCACGAGGGACGTGAAGGGGGGACTGATGGGGGCTTAAGGGGGGCAAGAGGGAACAAGAGGGGCCGGGAGGGGGCCGAGAGAGGGCGCTACGCGGCTGCCAGGTGCGTGGGTGCCAACACGTGCAGAAGGGGCGGATCAATGAATCAAACCGGTCGTTATGCGCGAGCACCCGCTGCTTAACCGCCCGGCTCCACTTGCAAATCCCTGCACGGCGCGGAGCGTGACGAGAACATGGAACAAGAAGGAATGCGCGGGAACCGCCAATTCAATACACTAACTTAGACTTGCGCCTCTCCAGTGGATTTTCACATTTAATATTATATATGTATATTATATAATATAGTTATGAGCTAGGTATATAGTTATGAAGTTTTAAACGACACATCGACAGCCACAGAAAATTGAACAATTAAACTGGTTTTGTATCAACCAAATAAATATATGAGATTATAAAAAGGCAGTTATTTTGAAATTACAGACAGACAATCCAATTTGAATAGATAATCGAAAATAAATATATTATTTTTCTCAAAATAATATATTTAAATATAAGTAAGGCACCCAAATTCGAACTAGTTCATTCAAATATAGTCATAGGAAAGGATTACACGTTCTCACGATGCCCATGCATGAGAATGGAAATTTTACTATCTGCACAATAGGCAGTGCTACCAATATAAGGATTCGTTGAAATTTTTTAGACACAGTTGTTGCAGTGGTGCCAAGCGGTGACACACATTTCTTGACTGATTGATTATTTGGTTTTTGCAAGCGAGTCACTGCTCCCAGAAAGTCACTGATCCCGGAAGTGTAGAACAGTTTTTTTTATCAAGGGGCACCGCTTCAGCTAGGACAACTTTCAGCTCCCAACACATGCGGTGCATGCAAGTTTGTGTGTAAGTAAGGAATGGGGATAGGAAAAGAAAAAAAGCAAAGATCGCGCGCGGTACGTGGCCCGTTCGTTATGGTGCTGCTCCGGCATTCGCCAGGTATTGATAGGAAAATATACAGAACACTACCGATCAGAGCAGCCGACCGGTAGAATTCTCCAGATAGAAGTTGAATTCGCCGCAGCTACGTAGCTAGTGTCTAAAATCCTGCCACCGTCGGGACTCGAGACATGCAGTGACATCAATTCATGCCCTATGCCAGCAGAAACGGAGCGAGGGGTGTTGCAGTCAATGACATTGAACGGAGTGAGTCACGAGGAATGGGTTGTTGGTAAATCATGGCGGTGTTTCCCAGTATCCATAACCTCACGCGGAGTGAGGAGTAATCGTCCGGGGCAGGTGCAGAGGCGCCGTGGGAATTCCTGCGTCGTCGCCCAGTGCGTCACGCGCCGCGTAGCTTCCGCCGGAAGCGGCAGCCGCCTCGCGCCGATCCGCTCAGCTATTTCACGCCAGACCGACTCAGGTGGCTCAGAGCATCAACCAAGGGCACTGCAGTGCCTCTGGCCGGGAGGTGCTACGGATTCACTCCACCACAGAGACAGGACTTTTGACACTAGCTACTTAGCTTGTTCCAATTCAGCCACTAACTGGGGGAGAGATCTGGCCGGCTACTGTGATCGATAGTTTTCCGTGGTTTCGCCGATCATCAGCAGGCGAATGCCGGAGCAGGACTCCTAACAAACGGAGTTGTTGCAAATCATGGAAGGCTTAATTAACCAGATCTATCTTTCAATCTATAGTTCCATTATTCTATCAACCTATCTATATACCTATTTACCTTTTCCGTTACAAACGCTCGCCAATTAGAGATTCTCTGTCGCCCATTTAGAATTTGTCCACATAGTCCACAAAAAATATAATAAACTTACTGAGTTATAACGTTTCTTTCAACATTTTCCCCACGATCTAAGCGGTGCCATTTGACATTTTCTCAAATAGAAAGGAAAATTATTGTAATAAATTCGTGGATTATTAAGTTGTTATACAACTACTACAGATTGTTGATGAGAGATATTATTTGTGTTTGAGACCTCGAAAACTACCCATTATGACGAAGTCACCGGTGGTGTTAATTTGCCCTTTTAGTTTTTGAATGGTTTTGGCACGTTTCTTTGTGTCTTGTTATATTTAATGTATTTATGTTTTGAAAGACTTTTAACTCCGAGTCTGAATCGTAGTGTGTGTGTCTGTGTGTGTATGGGTGTGTATGTGTGAATGTGTATGAGTGTGTATGTGTGAATGTGTAAGGGGGGGGGGATGTGTTAATGTGTATGGGTGTGTATGTGTTAATGTGTTTGTGTGTATGTGTTAATGTGTTTGTGTGTATGTGTTAATGTGTTTGTGTGTATGTGTAAGTGTTGTTAAGTGACCAGTTATTAAAGTTTCGTTTTATGGTATAACTGTGTTTTAATTGTCTTAAAAACAAAAGATACCTCCCATCAAGATTATAACATAGACAATCATTGCTTGATAGTTTTTAATTTTTCCAAACGCACTTTAGTGATTACCTTGCAATAACTACATAAAAAGGCAAAACTTGCAGCTTGAATTTGTAGAGTACTTGGAAATATCCACCAAAATTTATTTTGATTAAAGCCTTAGGCGGGGAAGCCATTTGCCAAAAGCTCATTACAACTCGAACGCGATCACGAGAATTAGGCTTCGTTGAATCGAATCAAAGTACACCTAACCACAAAGAGTCCATTCGCGCCCATCATTTGGGCGGAAAAGTAAATAAGCAAATGTTTCATCAAATGTGCACGAATCGTTGATGCGTTTCAAGCACTAGAGATAACAAGCTTATACTACGATTTATTTAGCCGTGCACTTGACGTAAATCAGATTGTTCACTGTTTCATTCAATCGGAAGTTTGAACGTCCCCATATTGGCATCACTGTAGCGACATATAAGCTCACGATTGGATGAAACCGCAACAGATAATGTACGTCAAGTGCACGTCTAAATAAATCTTACTACAATGGTGCGGTGTTCATTTTGTTTCATTTATTGTCGAGACGTCAGTTTAACAAGAGAATATACTGTAAAGATTGAACAAAGTGTTTTCACCGCTTTTATGAAATGAGCACAATTAGTAAAAACAATTTTCGAGCGATTTTCTTAACTTTCTCGCTCTTTCTTCGTAAAAAGAGAAAGCAATTTAATCTGCGCCGGAAAACTGCGAATATTCGACTAAAACCTCCTATTGGCGAGCCCTGATAATGAAAAACTGGATAACTCTTGATTCTACATAATTCCTCTAACTCTATTCAAATGCTAGTTGAAGTATAAGTAAAGTGTCATATAATAACATTCCATGACTTAACAATATTGCCAGCAGTATGTACTATTGTAGCACCAGTAGCTCTTCAATAAAATATGTTTATTAATGATATCTTGATATAAGGTCACGTACAATTTTTCGAAAATATGAGTAGTTTTAACGTAATTGTGCGTGAAAGATACGCAGGGTAAAATTTTTTATAAAACTTTTTTCTCCATAACCCGCTCCAATTTATTTTTCTAATTCCTCCCTCCGGGATAGAACAAAGAACGCTTATAATAAAAGGGGTGGCTGTCATTTTCTTTGAACTCTCTGAATTTTCGAAAATAGCAAATTTAGAAATAATGCGAGTGTGTTTGCTGTTGAGCACCATTACATTAAATGGGCACTTGTCTTGGTTTATTTAATCATTCTTAAGCACTTCACACATTTCGGCGGCCCCTTTTGAGGTTTCTTACATTGTTAATAGTGGTGTGATTTTTACACATCTGGCCTCACGATTACAATTTTCTCTATTGTGTTCTTCACTTCCAGGTCTCTTATATCTGACCGAGTTTTGGGGTCTGCCTCTATGTTGAAACTTTATAACTGGTGAAAATAAATGCTTAAGCATTAATCATAGTTGTGTGGTCACTGTTAATGCAGCAAATTCGTAATCGGCAGCTGTGAGATAATACGATAAGTAGTTTTTATTTTAGTGAATTAAGCTTTGCCGCAGTCACCGTGATCACAATGTAGTGTTTGTGTGACTTTCGACAATGCGTCTTTTGCAATGAAACTCCAAAAAAGCACGTCTATGTTGTTTTTTTTAAACCCGGACTCCGAGAAAGTTTTAGACTAGGAAACACCTACGATGGTTCATGTGGGGGAGATATATAGAGGGAAAACCCAGGTGGTTGGCTTCGCCTGAGGGAGGTGCACTCACCCGAGGGAGATGGAGGTGAAGTAGAAGAGGGAGATACCTAAAGGGAAAACCCAAATGGCTGGCTCCGCTTCAGGGAGGTGCACTCACCCGAGGGAGATGGAGGCGAAGTAGAGGTAGCCCAGCGAGCGCGAGGCGAGCGCGCCGGCGTACAGGATCAGCCCCACCAGTGACATGACGTACACGGCCAGCGTCACCTCCCTGCGGCACACCACATCGGCGCATCACATTAGCCGATACTTTCACTTCACTTCATAACTAGCACACGACATTTTACATACGTACATATACATTTACGTAGGCACACACATGCAATTTTCCATTCATCTATATTTACATATACACACACGCACATAAATACAGGCTCAGGCGTGCCTGAACATATTCCCACATATGCATATCCAAGCCACTCAGGGTAAAACTTATACCTAAAACAATCTTAAAATTATATACAACTTTAGTGGCGGCTTGTCAGGAAAAGCTAGTGAAGTTGATTTATTCAATTAATTGCCATAAAAATGTGCACATTTATAATAAGGAAGATTCGAGTAAATCAAGTTTTTAAAAGCTTCTGTGGCTATCATTCGTAGTTTTTGTTTTTCTTACAATGTTGCTACGCTAGCATTTTGGAGGTACGAGAAGAGCACATCGGTATTTCCTGTTTCTGCTGTGCGATGTGAAGGGGTGCAAGGTCTTCGCCAAATATCTTCCAGTAGTGAAGGCACAGCTTCGCTTCACAAGTCCCTATGATCGCTGATACGACATCCATGACATATGACTGATTGCGCCTCTGGGCGCCGAAGGGACTGACCTCAGTTCAAAGTTACAAATATTGCTCTCTACGTTGCTATTAATAGCGCCGTGATAAGGGTAATTATTCTTGTCGCAAGATTCCTTTGATAACAGGGGCAATTGTGATATAAGTTCTTGATTGTGAGGAAAAAATATTTTTGCTTCCAAATTCATTTGAGCAAAGAGTAATTAACGTATTCAAATTATCTAAAAAATGCAGTAGATTATTGTATTGTTGAAAGTACTGTACTGTGAAAAATCTATTAATTGCCCGAAGAGGGGAAAAAAATGAAGATAATTGATCGGAATGATATTTTTCTAAGTTGGCTATTCCGACTCGAAATACTTTCCTCTGATCTGAGACTGATTAGCCGTTTAATAATGTCTAAAAAATAATATGGCTATCTATTATCGCCTCTGGCTGATATTAATTTCTAAATTTACTTCTTGTGTTGCTTCTAATGAAGACGCAGAAATCCATTTGTTCTCAGGAACCATACAATTTTTTTATTTTGCAAGTTACTGAAAATTGAAATACAATAAAATAAAACATTCCAAACTGATAATTCTCCTACAAAAACATGGCTCACTCATTCTTATTTTTGTTTGTGAGGTAATAAGTTTTTTCGTTAATATTGTATTTCTTTATCGTATAATAAACTAGCAGCACCCGGCACACATTGTCCTACTATCTCTCTTTCTCTCTCTGTCTTTCCTCGCTCTTTACCCTCTTTCTCTTCTTTTCCCCCTTTACTCTTTCTCTTTCCCCACACTTTCCTATTTTCCAAACTATCTCTTTCCCCCTCTCTTCATCTCTTTTTCGTCTTTCTTTCTCTTTTCCTCTCTCTCTCTCTCTCTCTCTCGCTCCCTTTTTACGTCTCTCTTGCTCTTTCTTTACCCTCCGTCTCTCTGCGTTTGTTTCTCTCTCTTGTTCCCTCTCTCCCCTCTCTTCACTCCCTCCCTCTCTTCAGTCTACGCCGCCCTCTCCTCTTTTCCTTCTCGGCATCGCCCCGCGTCACACGACACTATTCAGCCACAATGACGATCAGGTGGATTAGGAAAAACCTTCTCCATGAAAAAATATTATGATGTACCTACTTTCAAGAAGATCAGACTTTATCAATCTCTAACAAACCAACACCATATACATATATCATCAAACTAAAAGTTTCTTGTTACGTTTATTAACATGTTTCTTTTAATTTTTTTGGGGGGGGAGGGAGAACTCACTTGTATCTGCGCGTGCGGTCGAGGATGACGCCGCAGATGACGGAGCCCAACATGCCGGCCACCACCATGACGAGGCCCAGCACGCCCGCGTGCTCGGCGCTGTCGTTGACGCGCGCCGCCACGGCCTGGCCCAGCAGCGTGGACACGGCGTAGAAGGAGCCCACGTTGAGCGCGTACGCCACCAGCAGCAGCAGGAAGTTGCGGTGCGTCATGAGGCGGCGCACGCCGCTGGCGAACTCGCCCAGCGACACGGGCTCCTCGGGCGGCGGAGGCGACCCGTCCGGCGCCGCGCGGAACACTGCTCGCGCACGCACGCGTTAAAGACATTAGTCACGCATGGGTACATACACGACGCCTACCAAAACTTCCCGAACCACGAATTTCCAGCACCACCGGGACAGGCCCTAAGCACCCGACCGGTCTCCGCGCCTGTGTGGCAGCGTAAGTAAGTATGAGTGTAACAATGAGGTGAGGATAGAACACGGAAGTGGAAGGGACGATCGCGCGCGACCTGTAGCCCGTTTTTTTTCTTCAGGTTACTGCTCAGGCATTCACCTGGTGTTGATCGGAGAAACCGCGGAAAACTACCGATCAGAGCAGCCGGCCGCTAGAATTTTCCTCCAGACAGCGGCTGAACTCGACCCAGCTAACTAACTAGTGACGAAAATCCTGCCACAGTGGGGGCTCTCGAACTTTCTGACTTCTCAGTCAGTGGCCCTACAATGACATCAACTGAAGCCCTGAGCAACCTACGCTGCCCACACGATTAGACTGCTTGCGCAATGCTTGTATGTATGTAAAATTGAGTGACTTAGAAACGGGAGAAGACAAATCAAGGATGAGGAAGGTGTCTCATTTGGTAAGTTATTCATTCGACGGGTATTCATCGGAGAAACTAAGGAAAATAAACGAACAGAACAACTGGCCGCTAGAATTCTACTCCCCAAATGCCAAATACTTAAAATCAATTTCCATTCTTGTTTAGCTCAGTTTCTGAATCTCATCTGCATACAGAACTACAAATCGGCTGACTCAAGTATTATTCCATCTGCATTGTGACTGTTACACAAAGGGTTCGCAATCTTATCTACACTCGACTATCAGGAGAACTTCCCAGTTCAGTGTCCCATAAACCATGTCGAACAGGTTCAATATGGCACACCGCTGAATGCTTAGCATAGGAGACGTATGACATCAACATTCCTTATGGATATACACAACTTTTACAATTGAAATGTAGGTGAGGTATAAAAATGACGATTGGGCTATGATTGCGATGTTCGTGCGCAACAGTTAACGTACTTTTGCAAATTTTTCTTACGTAAATAAAATTGTGGAAAGCTGCAACCAAAACAGACGTTTTGCGTCGGGAAAAACTTTTTTTGTGGGGCCCTGATTCCAAGAAGAGCTTAATTCTGTCCTTAAATTGTCAACGAGTTACCTGAATCCGACTGTGTGTCGGCCCCACGGCCAAACCCCCTTCCCATCAACCAATCGAAAGAAAAACGTTTCATTCGATACGTCTCGTTCTCCCGGTGGGAAACAGGTGGTTTGTTTGCGGATCCATCCAGAAGATTCTTAGAAATGTCTTCAAAAAAGGGTTTTTGCGATTTTAGTGCTGCGAAGTAGCAGTGGTCGCGTCACGTGCTCCAGCACCACGGCACCCTTTTCATGAATGACACAGGTCGCTGGAGACTTCCTACCCGAACGCCGCTGTTTACAGTAAGCGAAGCAGCACTTGCATCTTTCGGAAGAAAAAGGTTTTCAGTGTACGTTGTCACGGTACATCGTGAAAGAAAAAAGGTATATCATGTACGATATTTATCTTTTCATAGGATAATTTTGCCTTTTATTATATATGCTTCATGTGAGGTGTGGAGTAAATAATACAAATTTTATTTTACGGTATGTAAAAGTAAAAAATAAATATTGTTCAGAATTTAAATATTTGGGAATAGAACGAAATAAGAATGGAAATCAAGAAGTTGACGAAAGACAAAGAAATATCAACAACATAAATGCTCCATAAAATATTATGGGATAAAAATAAAAAAGAAACTAAATTAAGGATACATAAATCTATTGTAGAAAGTACTGTTTTATATGGATCAGAAATATTGAAATTAAAGAAAAATTTAAAAGTAAAATAACTGGCAAAAATTGATTTTGTAATAAGGTCATCCAGGATATCAAAGTTAGATAGCCTCACCATTTAAAAAATAAATACCATATAAAATTATACTTTGTGAATAAATTTCCTTGTGTTTTTGATTGTTCAAAACCGTGTTTAAAAATAATTTATTGAGCATGGTTCACAATGGCGGCGAATTTTCTTTTAAGTCGCGTGGCATATTTCGCGTATGTTGACATTTACGACTTTGTAATTTACTCAGCGCTAGATTGTCGTAGCTCCATTAATTAAAATGTATTAGATTCAATTAACACTAGCCTATAAATTAAAGTGTTATTTATATACATATAATTGTATTCGGGTAATATTTGCAGCCAATACTATTGAACGCCAATGAACAATGTTTAATTTTCAGAGAAAGAAAGAAGAAACAGAAGTCGCAGCTTTAATTTTTTCCTCTGCTTTTACACATAATCGTATATAAAGCAAACGTTAAGTGTCAATGGTTAGGAGCGTGGAACTTTAAAATCATACCCTCCGAAAAATTACAATTTTGGATTTTCCTCAATTTTTTATCTGTTATGTCTGGGTTGGGGAGATGGAGAGATTGCGTTTGAACACTTGCATACAGACAAGATCGTGACGATACCAAATTACAGTATAAATTCAATATTTGAGATTACACCTAAAGTAGATTTAAAAAAAGTAAATTTACGCCAAAAATGCTACATTTCCAGTTTAGTTTGGAAGTGGTGGCACGAAGGTATGGTATTAATTTGCAACTATTTTGAAGTCAAATTTCTATACTTTTCAATAATTAATAATATTACAAATGAAATTTCTCGGAAAGAAAGTTTCATTTTTAACCTTTGTTAGATAACCATTTATTCATTTTATAAATTTAAGTGTATCAATTATTGGTTTTTGTTTAATTACGAGTACTGTAATAATGCTTATTTTATGCCCCTTATTCTTTGTAAATACTTTCTCCTTTCCTTTAGCCTCTCCCTGGCGAGTGGACTTGGGTCGTCCTGCGCTACTCACGGAGGATGACGAGCAGCAGCAGCGTCGCGGTGACGGCGGCGGTGCTGGCGAACAGGAGGTGCAGCTGCGGCCGCATGTCGTCCACGTTCGTCTCGTTGTGCACCAGGAACGGCGGCACCAGGAACCCCACGGCGATGCCCAGCTGCGCCAACAACACAGCACCAACGCGTTACGCATAAGCAATGGAGGGGCACAGAGAGATATCGTCCTCGTACATCTGGTGGTGCACCACCATCCGCGGCACCAGGAACCCCACAGCAATGACCAGCTGCACCAACGAGTGAAAAAGAAGCAATGGAGCTGACACATACAGATATCGTCCAAGTGAATGGTGGTGCACCAGCAGCGGCACCAGGAAACCCAAAGTGATGTCCAGATGCACCAACGCGTTAAGGATAAGCGATGGAGAGGGTACTGAGAAATATCGTCCTCTGGTAGTGCGCCACCATCCGCGGCAACAGGAAACCCACAACTCCAATGCGTGAAGGATAATCGATGGAGAGGGTAAAGAGAGGAAGTTCCAGGGCGTGATCTTGTCGCGAGAAAAGCTCGCAGATACCTTCTACTATAGAGCAGAATACCGACTATCGAAACCCTTGAAATGCCTACCCACTGATGAGCAGTACGTGCTGAAGAAGGAAAATAAGTTGGCCGTGAAATAAAGGGTGGCCGCGGTTTTTTTTGTTTTACATGCTTATGTTTAAAAACACATTTAAGATGAAGTTTTAAATTTGATTCCGAAACATTTAAGTATGAAAAGATCAACTAACTGTGTTGTGAAGTTCTAGAATTGTCGTTTTTTGTTATTTAAGTTCGCGTCAACATCTAAGTCATTCGCGCGTGCAGAGGGGTTCAAATTTGCGTTAAATGCATACATACAAATGTGCTTTACGTATTCAAAAACATTCAACGTCTATTTCGTGACAGTAACAATAGGATAACGTTAGGGATGAGACAGAGAACGTGTAGTGTACTGATGAATATGTTTAGTTGTAAAGATGAGGAGAAAGCGATTGCAGGTAAGGGTAAGAGGTTGCCATCAGGATTAGGAAAGAGTAAGGGGTGGCAAGAAGAAGGGGAGAGATGCAAGACGAACTAAATTCAGGAGAAAGAGAAGAACAGTTTGACTGAAGTTGCAACTGGAGGAAGGGGGAAGAATAAGGGGGTGAGAAAAAACGTTTACCAAGTTTCAGCTCAAAAAATGTTTCTCTTGGGTTATATGACATTTTCTCATTCAACTTTTTACCCAAATCTACATACTGGTACATTCAGGTACAAAATTGCCCTTATCTCCTTTACACCTGCAACGATGTCAATAGGCATCAGTAAAATATCTTAATCCTAATGTGCAAAGTGTGCAAAGTTTCAGCATAAAAACACTTAAACATATTTTAAGGCTGAAAATTGGAGATCGTATTGTAGATATGGTTCCAATATTTTTCCTGTTTAGAGTAGGAAGGTAAAGCAGTAATAACCTTCCCAAAAAGCGGGTTTTGAACAACCAACTCCAGAGAACACCAGTTGCCTCTCTAGACGCATGCACGACCTACTACAGTTGAGTCTCAGCTTGTGTTGTTTCTCTTACAATACAAAATGATGTGCAACCTAATTATGTAAACTTTACTAAATTAACTTCTTAGACAGCCTCTAGTAAAAGCGATCTCTCTGGGAATGCGTGGCATAAAGTGAAAGTCAGCAAGGTCTCTGTCTACAGAATAGTGGAGGACACACGTGATAAAAGTGATTTTATTTTGCTCGGAGGACTGTGCCGCTCGGCTTGTCGGCCTACTTTAGCAACCTTTCCTACTCGCAAAATGAAATGCCACTTTCACCATATGTGTACACTACAGGTAAGTTTAATTGTTTTTTGTTGTGGGTGACATAAACACGTTTTTTCTACTCAATAAAAATATAAATAATTAGTGTTTATTAGTGTTTCTGCTGTAACGGATAAAGGTTATTATTTCTAACCATGCGAAGGACATTTCTAGTTTTCTCAATCTTTAGTCTATTACATTCGTCGACGTTCTGTCTGCTCCACTACATGACATATAATTGATGCGCATACGATAGTGTAGTGTATTTTAAAAACCGACCTGAATATTATCTATCGCTAACCTTCCTTTCACAAGAAGTTCTTTATCGTAATTCCACGCTCTCCCCCACTCTTACCTTCAATTCAAGCATTTTATGTAATACCTACAGGCAAATTCACCCATTTGTGGATTGGTCCTCTCACAAGTAATTTCTTTTACATTTGCGTGCAATTGAAGTGCAGTGTTTGAGATGGCAGCTTACGTTGACGTTCCTTTTGGCACATGTTACACACACAACACAGCCATATCTGGCGAGGAAAAGTTCACGCGGAACAAATTAATGCTTCCATAATGCTTATCATAAGTTATCAAATTCACGAGGTTGGACTGATATCGCTAAGGGTATTCACAAGTTCAACTTCGTGATCTAAAACCATTAATAGGGAAGTTATTAAGATATTAATAGGAGTATTTGCCTTTTCTTCAATTTATTTTGATCATCGATGTTAATATGAATGACCTAAAATCACACATCAGCCAGATTGACGTTTTGAGGGGAAAAATCTTTTCTGAGTGTCCAGGGGCCACAAAATGTGAAGTTCGACTAAAATATGAAGCTTCCTAAATGAAAATTAATTTACTACTTATAGAAGCAAGACAATTCTATCTACACTATCAGAGCCAGAAAACGGGGTTTTATTTCCAAAAACGGCACTTTTCGCTGCAGCATTACAAAACTTTCAATGATCTACGTATATTACTGTTTATACGAATGTACACGAGAAAGTAAATCTAACTTCCGTCCGTCTGTGAACAACACTAGCGTCTCAACTATTCTCCGATCGATCTGGCAAGACACGATTTTCAAAAATCATTCTTCACATTTTGGAGGTTTATTACATGAAGCCCATGGACCATTTTCAAAATTTTCCAAAAAACAGCTCCAATTTTTTTAATCTTCCTTGTAAAATTAGAGTGAAATGCTCTTATAAAGTTGGCATATGTCCATTTTCACTGTCCAATCCAAATTTTCGATGCACACAAAAGTGAATTTTTACGGCGCCTTCCGTCGTCGAGTGATGGATTGTTCCTGTAAGCGTGGAACACGTTTGTGGTGCGGGACGTGGCTTTGATCATCCCCAGCTGGATGGCGAGAATCGGCAGCAGACTACGTCGATTTGCGGGGATTTTCCCCACCAGGTATCTGTCACCAGCGTGGCACAGTCCCGGCCGGGACAAGGTCTCAGCTCCCGATTTGGTTCTCAATTGGTGTAGTAGTATAGTGCATGCACGTGTAGGTGTGTGTACGTAAGGAAGAGGAAGAGGAAGGAATGATCGCGCGGGGTCCGAGCTCCATTTATTAGGGAGCTCCTACGTACTGCTCCGGCCTGGTATTGTTTGCAGAAACAACGGGAAACTACCGATCAGCCAGCCGCTAGAATTCTCCTCCAGACAGCGGCTGAATTCGACCTAGCTAGTCTAGAAGATCCTGCGAACGTTCGAACTCGAACCCTCGGACTTTTATTTTTTCCTTTAATTCACAAAATATCTTCTACGGGTACAAACAAATAAATCTTAGTGTCGGTGTCATGTCTACTCGCACAATATATCCTGTACGTACACAAACACACATATATCCTGTATAGCCGCCTGTGTTAGAACTTCGACAGCACTAGCGTTTTCACGCGGTCCATAGCGGAAAGTCCATGCAGCACCCACAGAAATATCACTCTCGCCGTAAAAACTACGAGTGCAAACGTGAAAGCTCCGTAACGAACAACACAATAGGACCTGAGAGGGTGCTAAAAATAATTTTCTGCTCGTAAGTGTTAAGCTAGACAATTATAATGGACGTAAAAAATTCGTACTTTATTAAAAAAGACCGAAATGAGTAAAGTGCGTCCGAAGAATTTGGCCCATAACAGCATTCCAAGTGTGGACCAGGGAACACTTTCGGCACAGGAAACCGCTACGTACGGAACTGCAACTATTCGTTTACGGACGTGGAAGACGGATTAATGAGGAAAGATGCCATATCCATCGCTGGAGTGTGTGCATTCAATGTTAGTTTTTAGAGAATTATGATTAAGAATTAAAGCAAGAATGTAATAGACAAAAACTTTATTGTTCATTTGAAAACGTTTTCACAAGATGGAAGTTTGACTGAATATCTTTAACGAATGAAAACATTTGCAACACAGGTGTAGTCGCAACGATCACATAAAATTCATAGATCTTGAATGGGAAACTTATCATTTCAGAAGAAACAAAGTGTGCATTTTGTTTCTATTCTTGTGTAATTCTAGATGTTCAGGAGTATTCTATATTTTTTGAGATTGTTTAGTTAATTTTGTTTGTGCTCTGTTCATTTTACAGCTTAATGTATTTATTGAATTTATGTAATGTAATATTTCACTTATTTTCACATTAGAACAGTTCTTTGAGAATGAAGGTGATTTCATAGTCTGCAGAATACCACCGATCCGGCAAGTAAATGAAGAACTCCGAGATAACATATCGGTATCTTACTGTACAAAAAATAACAATGATGTTTCATTTGAGATTCTTTGTATCTTGTAAGGAGTGCCAAACACACTTCTCACTAGCACTTGAAAAAGACAGGTTGCAGCCACCGTATCTCGTTTTTCGAATGAAATTGGATGAGTCTGAGCAACGCCGCGACGATGTCTCTTTTCGACGTTTCCACAATCTTATCGTGTCTTTCCACTGTACATTTCCTTCTCTTAAACCCTGGAGAGCACAATAAAATGGTCTAAAGTGTGGGTGGCTTCTCAGCATTCGATGTAGCGTAACCGGGACACTAAAGATTGTTTGAATGGCTCTGGCTGCGGAGGCTTTCGACATCACATATCTCATTTTTCTTGAGTTCCTTTGTTTCTAATAACAATAAGCGACTATTATGTTCCTATTGCGGTGAAGAAATTGTCTGGGATTGGTGCAGGTGGAGGGGAGACATACGGAATTTTGTACTCGAAAATAGGGATGCCTGGATGGATGGCAGATTGTGTCACGCATAACTGTTAGATTAGAAGCTTTTGAGCTAAAACTTCAAAAATACGTCAAGGGTACGGCAAGTTGAGTTGCT